GCGGGCAGTGTCGGTGCTAGTTGGTGCTGGTGCTGGTTCTTTTGCTGGTGGCGAGTGGAGCGCCGGTGCTGGTTTGCAACTGCCCTCGGTGGTGTCATGGTGGTCAGGATTGGGGGACCGTCGATCCAATGCAGCTTGTACAGGAATGTGAGTGCTGCGACTTGACGCCGAACAGTGAGGCTTGGGAGGTATGACCCTGGGCCGATGAGCTTTAGGGCTCGGTGCTGTACCCGGTCCAGCTGGTTCAGGGTAGACTGGGACGCACCCAACCATGAAAGCGGGCAGTACTCAAGTACTGGGCGGACGAAGCCGCGATACACTGCATACTTGGCCTTGCTGTCGAGAATGGGCAGGGCCTTCCTCATGAAGCCAAGACGTTGGTGACCACGGACTGCAACCTGTCGAATGTGGGAGCGAAAGGAGAGGCTCCGATCAAAGAGCACTCCGAGCAACTTCAGCTCCTCCACTTCCTCTATGGCCACCCCATTGAAAGTGGCTGGAGGAATCGGCCAGGGTTGACGGTGATGCGAAATTGTCAAGACTTGCGACTTTGTCGGCTCGAATGCGATCTTCCAGCTCTGGCCCCATTCAGCTAAGGCATCCACAGCAGTCTGGAGCTGCGCTAGGCCAACTGGGAGAGCGGTCAGGGATGGGATGCACTGATAAAGCGTGGTGTCATCTGCATATATGGCGAGCTGGGTTGTGGCTGGGAGGTGGTCCTCCATGTCATTGACATATAGGAGGAACAGAGTGGGGCCCAGTATGCTCCCTTGCGGCACACCTGAGCTGATTCGGAATTTAGGTGAGGTTTGTCCACTCACAACGGCCTGGATTCGTCTATCCGCCAGGTAGCTGTGGAGCCACTTGAGGAGGTTCCCGGACACTCCGTAAGCCTTTGCCTTGTGAAGGACACCTGCGTGGGAGACTTTATCGAAGGCCCCCGCAATGTCGACGGCAACAATACGTACAGCACCGCCAGCAGCTGCTATCTTGCTCCATTGGTGGTGTAGTCCTGTTAGGAGATCAGCAGGTCCTAACCCTCGACGAAAACCGAACTGGTGGTTTGAGAGTATATTATTTCGTTCGAGAAAGTTGGTGAGAGCACGGTTAACAACTGCTTCCATTGTCTTGGAGATGAGCGACAGGAGGGAAATGGGCCGGTAGTTCGATGGGGCTGACTTTGACCGTTTCTTATGGACTGGGACGACACTTGCCACTTTCCAAGACTGTGGTTGTGTCCCCGACGTCATGCACTGGCGGAAGAGCAAGCATAGTGGCACTGCAAGGTGCTCAGCGTTGGCTTTGAGGACTCTGCCCGGAACTGCATCAGGGCCTGACGCTTTCGAAGGATCAAGGGCCCTCAGCAATTTACGGACCTCAGCAGGGCGGAAGCGAATACTTAGGAGACGGCTTTGGGAGCGAGGCTGGACAAAGGGGAATTCAGATTCCTCATTGAAGTCCTGTGGGCCGAGGCTGCACTTATCGGCGAAGTACTGACCAAGGCACTTGGCCTTCTCCTGACTGGTTGTGTACTCAGTTCCATCAGCAGATCGGAGTGTTGGTATATCAGCGCTGCGGCCCTTGCCACCCGCACGCTTGATAGTGGACCACCATTCCTTGTCCCGAAGGCTACCAGTGGTGAGTTTCTGCCGGAGCATGGTAATATGCCGTTCTCTGTTTCGCTGGATGGTACTGCGTGCAGAGGCTGCAGCTGTGCGGTAGTGTGCTTTCTTATCAGCACTGTCGGGATTTGAGCGCATCTGGTGCCACATCTGTCGCTTGGTGTTGACTGCAGCTGTACACTCCGGTGTCCACCAAGGTTCGTCGGAGGGGCGCGATGAGATAACTCTGTTGGGTATGAATTGTGCCATTCCTTCGAGGATCCTCTTGGTGATGTTGTCGCAGCTGAGATCCGGTTCAGGTCCGAGCATGCTCTCCCAGTCTGTTGTTCGGTAGAAGTGGGCAAGCCGCTCCCAGTCTGCGCGGTGGTATCGCCAGACTCTACGCGATGTCTTGGGCTCACGGGTGAGCTTCACAGGAAAGTCAACTTGGAGGACAGCATGATCAGAGAGTCCAATAGGCGGGTGTGCCTTAACAGTTGCTGGTGAAGGGAAATCAGACATCACCAGGTCCAGGGTGTTATCACCTCGGGTGGGTACGTCGACATGTTGACTCAGGCCATGGTAGCAGCAGATATCCTCTGCATACTCTCCAGCTCGGGTGGTCTTGTTGCTGCAGAGCCAGGCAGCGTTATGCACATTGAAGTCGCCGGTCACAATGACATTTGATCCGTAGGTACGGGATGCCTGCAGCGTGTTGTCCAAGTATTCCAATAGCTGGAGATCTGTCTCCGAACAGGACCCGGGCCGATAGGCTGCACAGATAACAACTTTCTGTCCACTCTGCGTCGTGACACTCAGCCAGATGATCTCGTGATCATGGCACTGGATGTGATCAAGATGTTCATATCCTAGGCCAGCCTTCACCCAGACTGCTACTCCACCACCGTGTGCAGAGCGATCCTTGCGGATGGGGGTGTGATAGCCAGGCATGGCTGCTTCAGATTCGCTGCACTTCTCTGGCGTAAATTTTGTCTCTGTGACTACTGCTATATCTGGCTTCAGGGTCTGGAGGGTGTGGCGGAATTCTGCAAGCTTGGACGATAGGCCAAAGGCATTCGTCACCAAGAGTCTGAACATCGTTGGTTGGCTACTGGGCATCGTGCATGCTAGACGATCCCTTGAGGGCACCAGACAATTCATCAGTGTGCTGGAACTCACCAAGTTTGGATTGCAGTCCGAAGGCATTTGTCAGCAGGAGCGTTAGGCTTGGGGGAATCATTTGGATTGCTGCTCAGTAAGGTGGCAGATTCTGCTCGAAAAGCAGTGAAATTGGCAGAACCATACAAACCTTATGACGGGCAATACCTCGAATTCTGCTCCATTTCTTTATCCACACACCAAACATGCATGAAACTTACCAGAAAAAGTACCGAATTCTGCCAATTTTCCTGCCGGCATTATCCGCATATGCCTAGCCATCAAGGACAGCATCGGCATGCCTGGCGCTATCCCGTACTTGTCCCGTTCCGTACCATCAAAGACCACAATATTCAAATAGGGCTTTCAAATGCAAGATCATAACGTGAAGCAAATTGGACGAATGAGGCTGTGTTTACATGATACATTTCAACCTGGGTCGAGTTCAGCCCGGGTTGAAAGTCTGTATGATAGACAAAATAGGTGAGCGTTTACATGAAGACAGTTGACCCGGGTCAAATACTGATATGCCGCCAAAATTCCACTTCTAGAGTCCTGTATGGTCACGTGAAATCCTTTCGCACGAAATTTGCATGTGCAGTGCTGTTCAAACCTGGCGCGAGATACGCACAGAAGTACGTAGTACGATATTTTTGACCCGGGTTGATTTCAACCCTCCACCGCAAGGGGAGGGTGAAATCACCCCCGGGCGAAATTTCAACCGGGTCAAGTGCAATACGTCATGTAAATGCGCCATTCATTTCGTGTACACAGGGTTATGACATGTCGGCGGTCCAGTTCCGCGATCAGTTGGCCGTTCGCTATGGCCAGGAGCCGAACGCTCTCCCGTCGCATTGCGATGGCTGTGGAGCTGCTTTCTCTCTACAGCATTGTCTGGATTGCATGAAGGGTGGGCTCATCAAGCGCGGGCACAACGATGTCCGCGACTTCGATGCCCGGCTGGCAGATGTTGCATGGGGAGGTGTGGCTGTCGAGCCGGTGATGGTACCTGTGCAGGATGGCAACAACCGCCCCACACTGCAGGCGGATTGGCTGGTCCGGGGAATTTGGGAAGGAGACAGGGTGGCGTACTTTGACAACCGCATCGTGGATGCCGACGCACCCAGCTACGTCCGCTCGAACCTCTCTTGGAACGCCGTATCCAACAGTGCTGCCTCTTCCAAGAAGAGAAAGTACAAGGCGGCCGCAGAGGAGCTGCGAGCATCCTTCACCCCGCTGGTCTGCTCAACTGATGGTGCACTGCACACAGAGTACCGTGCGTATCAACAGCGACTTGCTATGCGCCTTGCCTCCAGGTGGGACAAGTCATACAGCAACGTCATGTCCTAGGTGCGGATCCACCATCAGTTTGCTGTTTTCCGGGCTGTCGACCTTCGTCTCCGGGGTTCACGCCGTCGTCTCGGTGGGCTGGCAATTTGCGATGGTGTTGGCCTTGGCGTTGGCCGTTAACATTCATGCGTATGGCACTTGTTGTTGTTGTTGTTGTTGTGTGTGTGTGTGTGTGTGTGTTTGTTTTCTTTCCTTTTCTTTTCAGCTGTCATTTGCCCTGATCATGCCTCATGCGTGTTTCACAGCATAGTACGTTTCCGCTCATTTTCTTTTTCAACACACGCTAGCTGTATTACTTTGTTCTTGCGCGTACAAGAGGCTTTTCCACTTTCCTGCGGAAAAAAACTAGTACTACTACTTCATTTCGTGTACATAACGGGTTGAAACGCCTCTTGTAAACACAGCCTGATCACCGGTATGTATGCGAAGTGTATCGGGGGAATGCATGCAGGGCGATAGCGTGGGTTCGAATCCTAGGTTATGTCTTAAAAAAAAGGAGGATTGAACAATTTAAAACATCCCTATCTATGCCTTTTTTTGCCTAGGTCATCAAGGTGGTAGACAGTGTCCTTATAGCCTCGAATGCAAAGAGAAAGTTGACTCTCGCTAGGCAAAAAAGCATAGCATAGGGCCCTGAGCTTCCAGGCTCTCTCGTCACACTGAAAGATCATAAATATAAGTTAGACAACTTTGAATTCGCTAGAGCGTTGCACTGCAGACTCATTACCCAGTAAGCCTCACTCCCTCTTTTTCCCCCCACAAAATACAGACATTTATCCTATTTATCACAGTTAATTTGATTAATGGAGTACAGCTGTATAAGCCCCCCCCCCCCCACACACACTAAGAATGGACATGGAACTCATCGCGTGCCTTGTTTGTCCTCTGCAGTTATGCCCGTGGTTCGAATAACCCCACCCACCCAGACTGTTCTGAATGGGACTATTGCAGAACTAGTGTGCGACACCACAGCTGGTACACCACCATTCCTCTTCTCATGGTTCTTGTTCTCAACCGAGATCACGGTGGGCGTCACGAGCAACGCTACGACGTCCACACTGCTGGTTGATACGGCCATGATGCAGACCAGGTCCCGTTCCTACACATGTAGGGTGACGCTGGATCAACCACTCCCGGCCAATCAGCTTTCTGGAATGGACGTGGGCACTCTGCTGACGGACTGTGAGTTGTCATGCCATGATGACATGCAGCACAGTGGTTTGTTATGCTATCAGCTGTATTGTTGTCATCTGTACAAACAGACCTTGCACAGCCACACAAATCCGTTTTCCACGAAAAATATCCGGATGGGCGAGGGAACCGGATAATCGAACACACATACATGCAATGTATGTATGCATGTCACGTGCTGTAAATCGGTAACCAACGATTTTCTTCGGGTTGGCAAGGGATCCGGATAAAAGAGGACCGGATAAGCGAGGTCTGACTGTACCACAGTAGTGCTACAGAGGTTATGCGAATGATGCACACAACTGCAGTAACAATAGCCCGTATATGTAACCCCAAACCAACCCAGGACTAACATATTCACCCATTTTTACACTGGCTCATTGATCCTTGAGCCGCGGTGATGTTCCCATGGTTTCGGAAAATTCTGTCAGATTCCGTCTCACGTTAACCACAAAATTTAATTTTATAATTTTGTTGGATGTGAAGGTTGGTGCTTTCTGCAGCCGGTAAAGGTACTGATTGCTAGGTACTCTGTGTTTGAATGTGTTTGTGTGTGTGTGTGTGTGTGTGTGTGTGTGTGTGTGTGTGTGTGTGTGTGTGTGTGTGTGTGTGTGTCTATGTGTGTCTATGTGTATATGTGTGTATATATATGCGTGTGTGTATGTATGTGTGCATGCACGCGTGTATGTGCACACGTGTGTGTGTGTGTTTCTGCTCCACGTTCAGTCCCACCCGTGGTCTTGGTCAATGACGTCACTGGAGTCGCCGGTGAACGGATTGAAATCGTGTGTCGCATCCGCAGCGATCCACCACCGGCGTCGAATCAAGTCGTTGTGGTACTGAGCAGTGGTATGGTCGTGGGACCTTTTTCGATTTCCGTTGTCAGTGGGGCGCCACCGACTACTACCTTTCGTTTCCAGATCCAGACGGCCGACCCAGCCCTTCATGCAGGCCCGGCAGTCTGCCGCACCAGAGTAACTCTTGATAGCAGAACAGTAGAGGTTAACGGTTCCTTCAACATCGCTGTTGGTAAGTACCAAACAGAGAAAAACTATAATTAAGTGCAGGGGCGTCGGACACGGTACGGTCACTACGGTATTGACCATACCACTTTTTGCCCCAGGTACACCGTGAATCGATAAAATACACTGATCTGGGATCTAAATTTCCAAAATTTTCGGCTCAGCTGCCACTCCCCTGTAGCGTAATGATACTCATAACTGTACATAGCTTTCTCTCTGTCTCTCTCTTGTATTCATAACTGTGCGTGAGAGCTGCTTTCACACCTCTGCATGAACTCTGCAGTGCTGCTTTCACACGTCTGTATGAACGCCGCATGAATGCACCCCTTTGTACCACGCACGCGCCACACTTTCCATCCTTCCATACACGGACGAGTACTTGGGGACTCGGGCCTATGTGGCTTGTGGTAGCTCTACTCACTTCACTTCTTTGTTCGGACTTCTACTAGCTGTTCTGTTGTTTGTCTTGTAAATAAAGATGGTAAACCCTAGCTCAGGAGTTTACTACATGGCGCAGTGAACAGGATCTACATACGAGAGTTCCGTATTGATCCACTGTAGAACAGTAGTATGTCTCGATTTCAGCCACCATGTCAGTTTGACTTCGCCGATCCCTCTGCTTGGGATGACTGGCTCGATCGTTTTCGGCAGTACAGGAAAGTTACTAAACTGCACAAGGACGATGAGGATGTCCAGGTAGCCACGCTCCTTTACAGCATGGGACCACAGGCGACAGTAGTCCACAAACAACTGAAGTTTGATGACGCCGGCGATGCGGAGAAGTTTGACGAGGTGGTCAAGAAAATGTCCGAGTATTTCAAACCAGTGTCGAATGTGGTACATGAAAGAACTATGTTCGAGCGGGCGATCCAGTCGCCATCGGAATCCGTTGACGAATATCTTCGTCGTCTGCATCGTATCGCAGATAAATGCGACTTCTCGGGAGCCCGGGACGAGCGAATCCGTGATCGCTTCATGGCTAACCTCATCGATCGTAAGTTGACACTCGAGCTGCAACTTCTCGATAAGCCGGACCTGGCCAAGGCAGCCACATACGCTCGAAACTACGAGCAGGTTCATCGCCAAGTAGCTGCGCAGCGCCATCAGTTGGAAGTGTCTGCGCCACCTCAGGCAGCCGGAATCAGCACAGCCAAGGCCAACAGCGGCGGCCGGGCACAGCAGTTTAGTTCGACTCGTAGGTCTACGCCGTTTGGTACGGATGATGCGTCCTGCAGGTGGTGTGGCAGGCCAGCGACCCACTCACGCCGTGAGTGTCCTGCACGGTCCGAGAAGTGCTCCTCTTGTGGGAAAACAGGCCACTTCAGCAGAGTATGCTTGAGTAAGCCTAGTAGGCTAGCCAGTGAACCAGGCGCAGGCCAGAAGTTGGTGCATGCAGTGCAGCCTACACCGACTGCAGATATCAGCACAGGCGCATATCTGTTTATGGGAGGCGTTTCAACTGACCAGCTGCCTGACGAGCTTTGGATGCGCTTCATTCCGATAGGGAACACGGAAGTACTCTTCAAAGTGGACACTGGCGCGGACACGTCTGTTATGAACGCGGACACGTTTAGCACGCTAGTCCCGTCCCCCACGCTCCAGACGCCAGCAGCTGCACTCCTGGGACCCGATGGCACACCACTGACACTTGCGGGAAAGTTTACAGTCCTAAGTAGAGACACCAACGGACAACTCTTCCCGCATGATGTCCATGTCCTCTCCGCCTCGGGTGCGAACCTGTTGAGCCGACAAGCTTCTTTCCGTATGGGTTTTGTGCAGCCAGGAGTTCACAATGTCTCCGCTCCACCTGCACCTCCACTTGGCTGTATGACCGGACCACCAGTATCGATACGTCTTCTGCCCGATGCTCGCCCGTACCACTGCCCAGTGGCCAGGCGTGTACCATTCCCGCTGCTCCAAAAGGTGAAGAAGGAGCTGACGAACATGGTGGATTCCGGGATCATCACACCGGTCACAGAACCGACGGAGTGGTGTGCACCAATGGTGGCGGTTCGGAAGAAAAACGGTGACGTCCGCATTTGCGTAGACCTGAAGAGGCTAAACACAGGCGTGAAGCGTGAGACATTTGTCCTCCCGACCGTTGAGGAAACGATGGCTAAGCTATCGGGAGCGACGGTGTTCTCCACCCTGGATACGAAGAAGGGGTTCTGGCAGGTTCCGCTTGCCGACGAATCTCAACACCTCACCACATTCATGGTGTAATGATACTCATAACTGTACATAGCTTTCTCTCTGTCTCTCTCTTGTATTCATAACTGTGCGTGAGAGCTGCTTTCACACCTCTGCATGAACTCTGCAGTGCTGCTTTCACACGTCTGTATGAACGCCGCATGAATGCACCCCTTTGTACCACGCACGCGCCACACTTTCCATCCTTCCATACACGGACGAGTACTTGGGGACTCGGGCCTATGTGGCTTGTGGTAGCTCTACTCACTTCACTTCTTTGTTCGGACTTCTACTAGCTGTTCTGTTGTTTGTCTTGTAAATAAAGATGGTAAACCCTAGCTCAGGAGTTTACTACATCCCCCACGAGTAAATTGTACTTCAGATGGCTGACCGTACCACACTAAAATATAGGGGTGAAACGGTTACCCTTTAAGGTAACAAACGGGTATCTGGCTTAACGGGCGGGTTATCGGGTACCCTTTAGCAAGCCATACTTTTTCCAAAAACATTGCATTTGCTTGGGATCGTAAGCGCAACATGTCTTTTACAGGCATTCTGATAGGAGAGAGATTTTCGGGCAACAGTTACTACAATAGCCTTCCGGATTTCACGCCAGGAGGATATGCGAAGTCATGCAAGTACACTACACCGCGACAAGCGCAGCGTGCACACTTACTGCCCTACATGCAAACAGTGAAAATTGTCGTAGCTAGCTACAATGGATACTGTGATATGTAGCAGGATTGAACGAGGAAAAACACACTCAAAACTGTGCACCGAACTGTACAACTGTACAAGCAAGCTTATAATGCTGTACCCTACCATCCTACACGACTAACGGGTACTCGTTTGCTAACGGATCAGCAGCTAAACAAACGGGTACCCGGGTTACCCGGATCACCCCTTTCACCCCTACTAAAATACCTTCCGACGCCCCTGATGTGTATATCAGGGTGTTAAAAACTCATTGCACTCCGTAGTGACTTGTATTAGAGCCTATCTCATAAAGAAGTCTGTTTTGAATAGAAGCTTGATTTTCAACTTCCACTGTCGGCAGATGGCGCCTGATTATAGTGTTGGTGTACGTAGAAATACCTGGTTTGAATGGAAGCTTGATGTGAGAAGAAGCCTAGCCCGCACATCGGCTTCTACAGGAATAAATCTGGCTTTAATAATTATGTATGATTGACTGTGTGGATTCGGATGATACAGTTTCTCTTGCTTTCATGGTTTTGCCCTTCAGATGTTCTGTTACTGGATGGAAGTGGCACGGTGTTCCGAACAATGTACCGCGAGAACCAGCTTGCTCCCACCATTCTCTCACTGCAGCATTCAGCCACTCTGGTTGGAGAGTCAGCCGCCTGCCAGACGTCCATAGAGCTAACAGCGTACGTAGCTGTGTGCACGGTTTGTTGTGCATCGGTGTGTTTGTGTGAGGGTGTGTGTGTGTGTGTGTGTGTGTGTATGTGGGCGCGCGATGTGTGTGCATGTGTTCTTGTGTGTGTTCTTGTGTGTATCTGATTTGGTGAGTCAGTTGCCAGCCAGACGTCCACAGAGCTAAAGTTGTGCATGATGCTCTGAACTTGTGCATGCGTGTGCCTGTCCTGTCATGTTGGTCTGTAGAATGATTTGACCCCAGTCACATCAAGGCGCACACTTAACCTGACTGGCGCAATCAGTTTTTTTTACTGGTCCCGCTGCACCACAGCTAGTCATACGGTCGTGTATGATGTGGCGAGTAAACACAAGCCTCTTACCAGCTAACACCCGTCGCTGAGCGGAGACTTGGTCCGGGTATGGCCTAACCAACCGCACTGGTTCCACCGGCTCTGTTTCGCAGTCAGTGAATACACCGGACAAAAGCATGACAAGAACCTAAAACTGGGCGAGGAACTTGTTATCCAATGCGACTAAAATTCCATTGCAAACAATAAGATTATTAGCACGTTTCTTCAACTGTTTATGAAACTGCAGTTTCAAATACAGTTAAGAGCAGAGCCCACACACTGCACTTGTAACAGGTCGAAGTTGATATTTGAAGAAAGAGGCTGAGCAGGATCCTGCTCAGCGCTTATATATATCAGATAGGTGTGAATATTGTGAGAAGGAGGGTGAGACGGTCAGAAGGTAAAAAGGTGAGAAGGAAGGTAAATGGGTGACAACTGTGACAGCACTAATTCCACTCATTATATAATATTACAACGTTTTGGCAAACTGCCTTCACCAGATACAGACATTGTATATGTTGTTTGCTTCTTTTTGGTGCATGTTCTCATGTCCCATATTAGGTCTTCTGGTACCTTGGATGATGTGGCATTCGAGAAGATCTTCCCCACCAAGGCGGTGATGTCACCTAATATTATGGTGAGTCAGGATTTGGCTTTCTGTGCTTCGTTCCCGACAAGGATGCTGGGTCGAAGCAGTTTGTGTTGATCTGCAGTTGTGACTACAACGCAGTGCTAGTAGGATGCTAGTAGGATGTTGTTGCTGGATGCTGAGCTCACGCTACAGATCATCTGATCACATCACGGCTGGAAATGCTTTGCATGGAGTGGGTGATTATATCATCACTTGAGATTATTTGTATAGAGTCGCACTTGAAACACTCCTAACTCACCCAGAAAAAAGTCAGTGTGGCTTACACTACGATGGTAAAATGAATGGTGACATGCAGGGTGGATGTCTGTTCTTCATGACGAAAACATCTGGGTGCACATTACATGTACATTACAGTGCGGCTTCCACGCGAGAAAAAAACTAGGGCTGAAACGACCATTCAATAACTCTTAACGATCAACCAACATCATTTACGATCGATATATTGGTTTTATCGATTGAAGAAATTCCACGATACCTTTGCTACGTTAGACGTTTGTGGCTGTGCACTGTTGACAACTGTAGACATCTGGACATGAACTCGAAATTTTCAATATTGTTTCTAGAGTGAATAATTTTGTCATCGCCCTCTGGCAACTGCTCTTACGTCCGACCTCTCCCACAAATGAAGCGAAAAGACAAAGTCGTCTCTCCCAATCTCTTTCAAAGCCACAAATCAATTTTACTGCGCTTGCAAGAACAATACATAACTGTACTTGTATCCACTGTCGGATGGAGTGCAAGGGCTAGAATACTGTCACTGATATACATACATAAAGATCTTTAGCACTCGTTTTGAACACTGACCATTAGCGATTGCACTCTTAACGATCGTATGCGAGTTATCGGTATCATTGCTTCAGTCCTAAAAAAACCATACTTTCACCAGTGACTTTCTCAGTACATATACTCGTTGTGAGTTTTATGCTAAATTGTACTCCTCTTACTGTTCAACCTCTGGTCTAGTTGGTGAACTCAGACTCATAACTTATGCCCTGTTCTGTTCTTTGTTTTCCTCTTCTCTCCTCAACTTTTATATTCTACAGAAGACATTCTTACCGAGACAATTGGTGTACACGTCAACAGATGGTATGCCAATCTCGACCGAGGATATCTTGACCATTGTCCAAAACACGGAGTACGCGAACAGTCGCGAGGAAATATCCATGGCCGACCGAGTGGTAAGTGTGGCGTAAAGTAGACCCGTCTGTTTGTCTCGATGCATGTCTGCATGTATGTACGCCATGTATGTGTGTATGTATGCCAGCTATCAGAAGCGACTTGCTGGTCGCCTTGCCCTCAAGTGGGACAAGCCATTTTCAATCATCATGGCTTGGGTGCGAGTTCGCAGCCAATTTGCAGTGATCCATGCAGTCGACCTCCGGCTACGCGGGTCTAGAAGGCGCCTGACAGGCCTGTCGACGCAGGATGGTGCTGGGGTAGGCATAAGAACTGAATTTCGTCTGTTTTACGTGGAATTTCTTGGAGTTTCCCAATGTATTGTACTTGAATAAAATTGTATTTTACCTTTCATGGTATCTCTATTTTTTCACGTCTACATGACTTTATTTTGCCCGTAAAAGAGGCAGTTACCCCCGAAAATTAATGTATGTACGTATGCGTGTATGTACGTATGCATGTAGGTATGCATTGTATGTTTTTTAACATACATGCATGTATGTTTTTTAACGCTATTCCACTGCTTGAGACTTGCATCAACTTCAACACCCCTCCCCCGCTCCCCCATACTTAGGTAGGCCTCAGCGGCTAATGCTAGTTTTTTTGGGCAAAAATGCTTTTGGCAATGCTAGTTATTTTGGTTGCTAATGCTAGGTTGAGTGCTCGTTTGCAGCATTAATGCTAGTTTCAGCACCAATAAAAAGGAAAGAAAATGGTGTACAGAAATACTTTTTCGGATGGTCTTATGTCTAATTTCATTGTAGACACGATCAGATGAAACAGGGCACCATGGTAAATTAAAGATAGAAATGCGATACTAGTAGTCGATACACGGTGGACAATGTCTGGCAACTATCTTCGTGTCCCATTACGGCTTGGGAACTCACAGCTCATGGCCGAGCCGACCACGGTTGTACTGGAGCATGAGCTCCACTTCCAGGTGGTCTGTCAGTGTTGAGGCTTGCTAAGGGTGCACCCTTTGGGGTTTTCTTGAAATAAACTTTTTTGAATTTTTCCACTCGACCATGCTGAAATACGGCCAAAGTCATACCTGCGCAGGAAAGCTCGCCCCTCCGCGACGTCTCCTCAGCAATTTCTACTCCAACACTACTCCCAAGGCCGCAGAACAAAGTGTAGTGCTGACTCTGACAAGGAAAAGCAGCGGTGATCACTTGTCACTCCAAACGACAAGCTTCTCCTTGCGCCGCGGCACCAATAATTTTTTGTGCGACTGTTGATGCAAAAGTGACTGAAGGCCTGATCGCAGTTTTTGAATCTTATTGCAAGATGCACGGTGAAATCACGTGCCTTGTGACGCAAGAATGCCAAGTCGCGTGGATCACGGCATGTGTGTAGCGTAGGTTTGGCGCTTCCAAATAGGCACCCGGTACCCTTAGCATTGAGACGATAACGCTAGCGGTAACGGTATTTTGACTGTGGCCGGACCAAGAGTACCCATTTTGTTACTTTATGGCATATATGCACCCTTGAATCCTGTTGTGCACTTGCTGTGTGAAAGGTTTTTAGCCCCCAGGCCCCTTTTAATGCTTTTTACCCCATAAAACCTGCTTGCAATGCTAGAGCAATGCTAGTTTCCAAAAAAGGCCTTTAATGCTACTTTTAATGCTAGCATTAGCCGCTGAGGCCTATACTTAGGGCCTTATAATTAGCACTTTTCCAAACATGCTCGCCACTTTTTTCGCAACTTTTCGCTGTTTAGGGCCCGGTCACACATGCACTCGAAAGTAGCGTATACGCTGAAGCGAGGTGGCAGGAGCGAAAAATTGCATGGCAACTGCGAAAAGCGGAACTTCCTCTTCAGCGGAAACTCCAATCCGCTTCTTCCAACATTTTCGAAGCGAGACTGTCGCTTCTGCGGATTCGCTTCAGCGGAAAACACCACGGTCTGCTGTATATGGACTTGCTACGAGAAATTTGTATGCGTATGATTTCCATGCAACAAAAATGCGTGCAAGATAGTCATTTACCTCGTCCATTCTCCGTACTGTATGCACAGCAGGAAGGGGTGTACGAGTTTGCCGTCGCAGCACTTCTCCTTTTTTGGTGGTTTGTGCACAAGAACTCTCCCATTTTAAGTTGCAATGTCCGCAACTTTTGAGCTTTTTCTGAAATATGGATGCGGTTTCAGCAACTTGCACTTGCTTTGGTACAGTTGCGAAAAGCATAAGATGCGAAAAATGATGGCATCTTAGTCGAAACAGGCTAGCATCAGGGCAGGCCGAAAATTTAATGCGCCGAAATGTGCTTTAGCCCCGGGAGGCCGAAATTTCAATGAGCCGAAATTTGTAGATTTACGGCATGTTGTTCCTTCACACAACGTCACGTGATGTTTGTGTACCTTTGCTTTTCATCTCAGGTACTTTGGGAACTTCGAGACTGTGAGAGCAACGTCATAGCGACAGCAGAAACATTCATTGGAATCGAACGTGTCAACGACAACCCACCTGTGGTGATATTCAACATTTCTCCAGGCATCGTATGACGAGCAGAATATTAGCTAATGCCAATGATGTAAAATTCAAGAATTCGTAATATTTGTGGGCCGTGCTAACTGGCATCCACCTCTCTGCAGCATTTTACCTTGCTATTTGTGTTACTGTTTGCATGCAATGGGCGTAGTTAAATCGCTACTCGTGGAGTTCGTCAGCAGCTACTTCGAAGTAGATTCTTTCTTTATTCTTTCAATAGCTATCTTTCTCTAATTTTCACTTCCAGTCTCTCTCTCTCCCTCCCTCTCTCTCTCTCTCTCTCTCTCTCTCTCTCTCTCTCTCTCTCTCTCTCTCTCTCTCTCTCTCTCTCTCTCTCTCTCTCTCTCTCTCCCTCTCTCTCTCTCTCTCTCTCTCTCTCTCTCTCTCTCTCTCTCTCTCTCTCTCTCTCTCTCTCTCTCTCTCTCTCTCTCTCTCTCTCTCTCTCTCTCTCTCTCTCTCTCTCTCTCTCTCTCTCTCTCTCTCTCTCTCTCTCTCTCTCTCTCTCCTCTCTCTCTCTCTCTCTCTCTCTCTCTCTCTCCTCTCTCTCTCTCTCTCTCTCTCTCTCTCTCTCTCTCTCTCTCTCTCTCTCTCTCTCTCTCTCTCTCTCTCTCTCTCTCTCTCTCTCTCTCTCTCTCTGTCTCTCTCTCTCTGTCTCTCTCTCTCTCTCTCTCTCTCTCTCTCTCTCTCTCTCTCTCTCTCTCTCTCTCTCTCTCTCTCTCTCTCTCTCCCTCTCCCTCTCTCTCTCTCTCTCTCTCTCTCTCTCTCTCTCTCTCTCTCTCTCTCTCTCTCTCTCTCTCTCTCTCTCTCTCTCTCTCTCTCTCTCTCTCTCTCCAAGTCTAGTGATGTCCACTCTCGGCATCTCTTCTCGAATCAAGAAATTCGAACCCTCCAAATATCTGGATTTTCCTACTCCCAGGTCGCTTATGCATGTTTACATAGCAGCGTGTTTGACATGATCTTGAAGTAATCACAACAAGTCTTTAATTTTGTACACTCCTCTCTTAAAAACCAGCACTCCCGAAGTTTTGGGAACTATTTTGACGACTATCCTCCGAGGACAATAATTATTAGAAGTGTGCATCTGGATCTGGCGAGTGTCTCAAATGTTGACGGATGTGCACTGGATGTGTGGTGTGGGAACGGGTTTCATTTACTTGACGTGACGGAGCTACCGCTACTTCAGGCTATCCTCAGATCAGTGTACATGTATCTGCTGCGGGAATAATTATAAAAATGCTCTGCAGGTGTCTTAGGACTGTAGCCAGAATTCAAAAACATGTGCAAGGAACAATTCCGCATGGAAGATTCATTATTATTTATACCAGCCATTCCCACAAAAATAATCACGGAGTCTTGTTTCACTGTACCACGTGACACAGTCTTCAGTGGTAGACTTAGAGGCTATACTTGTGCATTCACTTGTACAAACACGATGTGTGTGTTCAGAAGAAAATCCAAACAAAGGTTATACACGTAACCTGTAAGTCGCTAATAACTGGGCCTGGGCGGATAATGCTAGCATTATAAGTAGCATTATAGTGTGCGATTTGCAACGAGCATTATGCTAGCATTATAACACTACATTTCCCCAAAAGTGGCATTAAAATTTTATATAATGTACTCAAATTGAAATGGCCCAACTAACGTTACTCGTTACTTCTGCGAAAACCAGGCTTTAATAGGGTGAAAATAATTGTTTTGAGAAAAATGATGTTTTGTAAAAAGGTTGTGTCGCGTGGACGCTCGAGTGCAGTGAAGTGCAACCAAAGAGAATCTCGCTTGTTTCACGAAGTAGCTGTCAAGTGTCATGGCAGGAAGGGTTTCAGCAGTCAGGGAAGTCAAAGGGCTCCCGGTAGAATTATTCCCTGCTACTCCTCTAGTCACAACGAAGAATTTTTGAGCTGATCGAACGGATTCCATCTCCTACACTCAGGTATGGCGAAATTTCTGCGCTAGCTGCTGCTTGCGGAAAATGGTGAAGAAATCGTCTCTCCAGTTAGAGTCGTGATAGCGATAGCGAGGAGAACCTGGACGACATCGATCCAGCCAATCGAAGTACGGAGATAAATGTACTAGTTGTTTCTGGGCCTCACACAAAGGGAACACGCGAAGCAGTGCCCATACGTTTGCAGCTGGTTCACGAGGTAAAAGGCTTGAAGCGCAGTGTAAAAACTGTTTTGAATTGAAGTCCTTGGCGATGAAGTGCTACTGAATGCCAGGCGAATGAGCGAGCAGATCGAGAGGCCTCCACTCGCGACTTTCCTCGCTGGACAGCTAGCTGCAAGGGATTGTATGGAGCAATGCTGTATGTACATGTATGTATAACTCATAATCACAAGGTGATCTTAGAGGCATTAAATTAATCAGCGAGAGAATTGTGAATGATGTCAATACTGTAATACTGTAGCAGCATAAAATTAGCATAATGATCATGATTTTCTAGCATATTCCACTACGCAGAACTACGAAATGTGCACAATACTGCCCAAACCAAGCCATTTTCCATACTCACTACTGGTTAATTGCTGGCATTACAGAGGAACAGCAGCATTATAAGTAGCATTATGATACAGTTTTTCTGGCATTGCCATTAGCATTAACTCGCACAATATCTAGCATTATCCGCCCAGGCCTACTAATAACTGGGTTATTGTCTTTAAGACTGTTCTGTCTGGTCTTGCCGTCCCGTCATCATACCAGGCCAGCATCCCATGAAGCCTTGGAATGTAGCTCGTGCTTGGCTCGATGGCGCTAGCCTTCCCCTCTTTGGAATTAGCACTAATATCCATGAACCTTCCAAGTCGGAAGGCCGTTGGTTAGCGCTATCGAGCAGTGCTCAAGCTGATGTTCATGCTGTGGAATGTCTCAGTACTCCTTGTCAGCTTTGTGCTAGATTGTGCACGTCTGACTGTTCAAAATCTGGTTTAGTTGGTGGACTCGATCGCATAACTTGTGCCCTCAATTTCCATGTTCACTGTTCCAATTGTCTTTGCCCGAAGTTCACTGTTCCAATTGTCTTTGTCCCGATTTCAATGGGGTATTCATGTATCGAGTTTCTTATGCTACTTCCACTCTCAGAGAATCCAACCTGTCGACTGCCTTCCGAGTAGCTAAATCTCAGCGGTGGATCCAGCGATATCTACATTAGCTGATACTAGTGCACGTATTATGCACATCCATAGCCATCATTATGGCTTCCAGTAGTGCATTTACGAAATTTGGGGGATCCACGGAACCCCTCCTGGATCTGCCCTTGGATCTACGGCTCGCCGTGCGAGCACCAAGTTGACGGACCAGTCATGTCTCCTGATCCTGGATGTCCTGCCGCAAAACTTCGAAGTCGAGCACGACTGCACCCGCTCTGCATGGGGAGCAGTGTGACTCGTTAGTACTGGCTTGCCGTGTGGCCCGCGGGATTCGGACCCTAGCCTGCAAGCGACCAAGTTATAGTCCGTCTTTAGTTTAGCTGGTGCGCTGACTGGAAGGCGCTGAGTGCGGAAGAAAGATTTGCGCTCATTGAAGTCATTATTTTGAATGTTTGGTAGTTAGCGGCCCTGTAACGTTATAATACCGACCACAACCATTGGTTTCAAAGTGTTCCGCCACGACGCACTCCGAAGAACCGGTGCGAGCCGAGCGCCGAGTCCGCAAGCGGAGTGGATCGGTGGCGTTTATCCAGCAGAAGCTGGAACGAAGGAGCGGCGACCATGGCTTCTCCTGTCACCACCGTGTTGTCGACTGTAGCCATTCTGCTGGTTCTTCTTCCGTGCAGTAGCGGCCAGAGTAAGACGAGTCTTGTATCCGTTCTCTGTACTAAGCGTTATAAAAACTTCACCATGTGGGGTTCACCCACCGTCCGTAGAGGGCTCAATTTGCCGAACGCAAAGAGCGGAATACACAGACAGGAGAACGAGCAGTTGCTGTTTTGCGGTGTAATAACTTCACCACAATTGTAATTTTAGGTACTTTTCGTGCTTGGAGCGTGTAGAAGCTAGGCAGGAGAGTCATTTGTTATTACTGAGTCATTGTTGTGCAGTTTCCAGCCCTGGGAACGTCAAACGTGACGATTTGATTGTGATTAATTTTACTCTCTCTCTCTCTCGCTTGGTTCTGTTTTAGCGCTTTGATTTGGAACTGGGGGGAGTCAAAGAATTTGAGAGCCTAAGATCATAGAGATGAGGCTGGCCTGAGCTCATTGGGAAGTTCCAAACACTACAGTCATCTGCTAGGCGCTCACTGGCAGAATTCAATTGTGTTCCTTTGGTGCCCTCATGTGCCAAGCAGGGATGTCATGGGGGGGGGGGGCAGCTTTGCATTGAGGTGGTTGGGTGGTGGTAGACACAGTTCCAGGCACATCCGACATGACGAGGTCAAGGATGTTTTCTCCGCGAGTGGTCATGGGTGGAGGGGTTGCAGCTTTGCATTCATGCCAGAGGATGTCCCCAAATTCACCATTTGAAGCCCCAAATAATCCTGATAATTGTATGCGACTGCAATTGCGATAATTATAAGGATATTATCCTTTACCTTATTTTGGGCTTTGCCCCATATCCCTCACACACTCATACTCAGCCCAAGGCAACAAGGATTTGTTTTGGTGATAGTGTGCTGCTTCGAGAAACTGGTCTTGTAGTGCAAAAGCTCAAAGAGTTGGATAGCAGTGCCAGGCCACTGGCAGCAACTAACTCCCAAGGAGCGGCAATAAACCCACACTGTGCCACAATGGGTTTGCAAGGCAAAGCCAATGCAATTGGCAACAACTGGCTCGTGATGAGCCGCAACTAGCAAAGCAAATGACCAGCTAGAAACCGTAGAGCTAAATTTTCCCTAGTACCATTAGCAAGAGGATAAAATGTGAGGGAAGGAGGGTGAAAATTTGATGCTGGCACAAGCTAAAAGTCACCACTAATTTGACTTTGAAGTGAAGCCAACGGCAAGAGAGAAAGGGAAAGTTGAAAGGAAGCATTTCTGCAACGTCAGGCTAAGCGCGTCCGAATCCATGCGCCAGCAGTGTGTGTGCAGTGAGCAAAAGTTCAAAGGAAGCAGTTGTGGGACGTCAGGCTAAGCGCGCTCAAAATCTATGCGCTGGCAGTGTGAGTGCAGTGTCGAAAGCACTGATGCAGCGGTGCGTGGCAATTGCAAACATTGCAATGTGATCGATGGATGCTAACACACACTAACTACATTACTGCGACACTAACTTTGGTGCTCGTTATTGGATTTCCATAATAATCTTGGGCTTCCTGGAAAGCTCTCCGGAGCTATGACAACTTGCAAGATCAGCCCTAGCCTGCCACTACTGATCTGGCGCAAAAGCCGTCCAGAGTTTAGTGTTTTACGGTTATAGTGGTACAGCACTCTACTGCACTTCCTACCCATTCCTCTCTATCTTGCCCCATCACTAAAACCTGTATAATTATCATTCATGTTATTCTGATTGCGTTTACTGGCTTTATTCCTATGAAAGAATTGTCCGCAAAAGGAATGGTGGAGTTTTCACCAGTGGTTGCTGGATTCAAGAAACATAATCACCAGCCGCCTGTGAGAACAGTTTCCTCTGAGACAAAAAATGCGATAATACTCATAAAAAGGCTTGAGAAGGCTTGAAAGTATACTTGTGAAGACAAAAACGTTCAAGATGTTCGTAATGAGCCTGAAGTGTGTCCTTTTTATGAGTATTATCGCCTGTGAGAAACTGTCAATTACTCAGTTTGACCGACTTAATAATAACCATGAAAAGGAGACCATGGATAGGATTAAACATTCGATGAGCAGACACCCGTACCATGTGTTTACTCTTCTGCCACAGAGCATGCTATTGAAGGGTTTCCATTGGGACAACATCACCCATAATATTATGTGCAAAAGCCCCTGCTCATAACCCCCACAACAATTCCCCTTTGAAAGCAATGTAGTTGGAAGCTCTTATTCCCCACAACGTTGGAATATCATTCAATTCCTCAATGCCAACAAATAATTTCTTTCCCATCTTTGGAGCTAGGATGTCATCTCTGCCCCTCAGCTAACAGCACTGTCCTTCTTCCATTAAGTTACTGGGGTTGCGAGTTCCGACCCTATTTCCACCTGGAAAGGAAAGTGGAATTTCAGGAATTTTGGCAGAGCATCCTCAGCTCCAATTCACAACCTCACACTAACCGTTAGCTATATGTAAATCTCTTGCCTAAAATATACAAGTAAGTATTCCACTGCACAAGTTTCTTTCACCCTGATGAATAATATAATTATTGTCTTTTCAGTCCCCAAGTAAACAGTCAAATCAGCTCAGCAATGTTGGAACAAGATTCACCATTACTATCCTCCCATTACAGAGGCAATATGCGTTGGTTCTGCAAGAGTGCTCACTGCCTGATTCAGGCAGAGCGGCGTACACAAAGGCACACAATGAAAACCTTGGCAAATTAATTCCGTTGTGACTCAGAGTCTCATGGCTGAACCAATCATCAGACAACGATAATGGAATAGGAGGCAGCGCTGGTATATCTAAGTGGAGAGAGGTGTGATAATACGATAGCGAGAGGAGTAATCGCGTGAATGTATACAGGGACAGGCTATTTTAAGAGGCAGATGCAGTAGGCGCAGGTCTAGCACTAACAAGCACGCTCACACACCACACACACACACACACACATACATAGGGGTGGCCAGCAGAAACTTGCGCTGGTGAGGGCATTTGGATACCAGCTCACTTCTCTTGTTTAGGGAGGTAGCTTTTGAAGCTTTCAGGATGTGGAACTTTTCGGTGAGGCATAGGCCACACCTCTTGCTAATGTTACTGTATTGTCTCTGCGTGTATATGTGTGGGTGTTACTATTATGTGTGCGTGTTAGTATGTGTGTGTGTGTGGTGTGTGAGCGTGCTTGTTAGTGCTAGACCTGCGCCTACTGCATCTGCCTCTGAAATAGCCTGTCCCTGTATACATTCACGCGATTACTCCTCTCGCTATCGCAATATCACACCTCTCTCCATTTAGATATACCAGCGCTGCCTCCTATTCCATTATCGTTGTCTGATGATTGGTTCAGCCATGAAACTCTGGGTCACAACGGAATCAATTTGCCAAGGTTTTCATTGTGCGCCTTTGTGTAACCTCCCATTATGCATTTTCTTGTTTTTTGCCTGGGAACGGTGATCATTTCTCCCACTTACCGTTGCACATCAGCACTGCTCAGTGTTATTTCTACGTGCATGACTCTTTAGTCACTGCCTTGCGTGCAGTCTTTACCCCTGTCACACCGACTGCATCTGCTCGGAAACTATTCTTTATCACGTAGCTCAATATCAAGAGCTCAACATCATCAAATCATTATCCCCTTACTCTAATCTGTCCTGCACGAGCGAACCTGTGGTGGACCTAATGGATTCACCGACTTTAAGTTAACACGGCAGTGATTAATAATAACTATACATCATCCACAGTGATCATAGGAAAAGATGTAATAAAATGCTAGGGAGAAAGTGGAATGCCCAAAACGAAGGGGTACTGTACACAACGCTTTTCATGTACGTGTACCAGCATGACTTAGATAGCGAAAAGAAGCCCGTAAAAGAGGCCTTTATCATTCCTCCATTAAAAAAAAAGCATGACTTAGATAAGAGCTGGTGCATTCAAAACGTACCCAGCAATTAGCCACGGAATACGTTTTTGGAACAGGAAACCTGTTTTATAGTTATCGTCACATGGTATTGTTGAAAGCTTCTGACCCTGCTGTGAGAGTCGAATTTGTGACAAGCTTATGCACCTCCCTTTGGGTTAGAAATAATGAATGAAAGGGAAAACTATCTATTTTTGTAACATAAGTTACGAAACGAGGAATTGTGTGTTGCTCCCTACACGGGAGCTCGTGATTTTCCTGCCGACTTGAATTCTCACTTGACTGACTCCCGACTGCCATCCAGAGCACGCGAGAGGTCCATCGAACCGTCCACCCGGCAAACCTGCAAGAAAGCACCGCTCCCTGCTCAATACACAGTGTTTCGGGGCATTCACCTCTCATCAGTAGAGCTTTAGTAGGCTGAGGAAGATTGTGCCTGAAGAGCACCACTTATAATTATAGTGCTCCCAGGCACAGACATCACCAGGGATACAAACTCACCGAGACGCTCCGTTTTCAGCGCGAAAAACACCTCGTGAACACCAGATAGCAGCGTAAGTCAGTGTCGCTCATGGAGGTGCTGAAAGAGCGCTGTGGTCCGTTGGACATTCACAACGTTGTTGCCTCCAAACCATCTCATTCACAAGCCCGCGCTGGGAACAACAATGTGAAGAAGAGGTTAGTGCGACTTCGCCGATACTTGAGGAATTGTGTGTTGCTCCCTACATGGGAGCTCGCGGTTTTCCTGCCGACTTGAATTCTCACTTGAATGACTCACGACTGCAAACTCAAGAACACGAGAAGTCCATCGAACAGTCCACTCGGCAAACCTGCAAGAAAGCACCATTCCTTGCTGAATACACAGTGTTTCGGGGAATTCAACCCTCATCAGTTGAGCTTGACGTATCGCCGAAGTCGTATCAGCCTGTTCTTCACATAGTTGTCCCTAGCGCGTTCTTGCGAGATGGCTTGTAAGCAACAGCGTTGTTAATGGCCAACGGCCCCCTCAGCGTTTGTTCAGCACCTCCATGAGCGACACTGACTCACGCTGCTATCTGTTCTTCACGGGGTGTTTTTCGCCCTGGAAAAGGAGTGTCCCTGGTGACGTTTGTGCCTGGATCAGCACTAGGTACATTGTAAGTGGTGCTCTTCAGGTATAATCTTCCTTAGCCTCGCGCCTACTCATGCGCTGGATGAAAAAAATCCTTTATTAGTGATGTCGAAAATATTATCGACGTTTCGGGCCGCGCCAGTCACCCATCTTGAGAACATTTTACAAGAGGCGAACCTGACCTTTTGAAGAAATATTGATGGATTCTTGTTGTCTGAGGATTGCCGTAACTTTGCTCTGTGTATGAAACCCAGCAGTTCTATAGATTCTGCCTTTGTGGTGTAGTTCTATGCTTTGGGTGTTGATTTGGAAGTGTGAGTAAGCAGTGTGGAACGATGCACTGCAAAGCTTTATTTGCAAAAACCAGATATTTTGTGATACAGAATGCCAAAACCAAGCGGCATAAAATAATTACTAAAATCCAGTTTTTTAAATTATTTTTAATAGTGTGAAACGATGTGCATGCGTATTGTTGTGCATCTGCTGGTAAATGATACTAAGTTGCAGTGGACACCTGATATTGCTAACACCAATGTGCATGAAAACTACTGTGTTTTCCAGGGTATAAACCTCACTGGGTTATAAGCTGCACCCCCCCCCCTTTTTACCACAAAATACAGACATCTAACCTATTGATCATGGTCAATTTGATCGGAGTATAGACCCCCCCACCACACACACACACACACTGTGTATAAACATGCACAAGCAGCCCATCGTGTGTCTTGTTCGTCCTCTGCAGTTATGCCCGTGGTTCGAATAACCCCACCCACCCAGACTGTTCTGAATGGGACTATTGCAGAACTAGTGTGCGACACCACAGCTGGTACACCACCATTCCTCTTCTCGTGGTTCTTGTCCTCAACTGCGATCACGGTGGGCGTCACGAGCAACACTACGACGTCCACACTGCTGGTTGATACGGCCATGATGCAGACCAGATCACGTTCCTACACATGTAGGGTGACGCTGGATCAACCACTCCCGGCCAATCAGCTTTCTGGAACGGACGTCGGCATTCTGCTGACGGACTGTGAGTTGTCATGGGATGCCATGCAGCACAGTGGTTTGTTATGCTATAGTAGTATCCCTGCCTGGCTAATACGGAAGTAGTACGGAACTAATACGGAGCTTTGCCTGATGTATGTTTGGTGTGTCTCCGTATTGGAAAGGCTTCCTGTCTGAAGCCTTTCCATACTGGTACTCGATGTTCCAGTTTTGTGACACGAGATGGCACGAGAATTAGTGTACCGCTGAGTGTACCGCTATACACGTGGTCTACACGTAGTCGACACGTTGTTGATACTTTTTTGACACGTGACCCCGTCAACGGTCTGCTTTGTGGCAATGCCACTCGGTAAACGCCGATGTCGCGTACGACAAAGACGACTATCCCGTACGCGAAATAGTTGAGAACTGCATGACGTGGACCTGACGGCAAGGACAACTGCGAGGAGGCCCCTTTCGGTACCCCTGACGGGAAGGAGAACTGCAGAAGTCGACGAAGTCGAACGAGGAGGCCCCTTTTCCGTACCCCATACTGCAAAGTGCCATTGATGGATACCTTTTGCACCTGGAACGACCCCTTAAACGCTGTCGCGGCGACTATCCCGTACGCGAAATAGTTGAGAACTGCTGACGTGGACCTTTTGCACCTGGAACGGCCCCGTAAACGCTGTCGTGTCGGCGGAGTGAATGTGCAGGGTACTAGGGTGAAAAGAATTGCTGGAAAGACGTCCCCTCTACTAGGCTCTAGGCCTTTGCCTTTGGAGACATCGTCGGCGAACTGAATGCGCAGGGCGAAAAGAATTGCTGCAAAGACGTCCGCTCTAGGCCTTTGGAGACATCGTGGGAACTCCTTCCGGTACTGTACAAACTGCTGACGTGGCCGTGGACATGTACATGGAGAGTCATGGTGGGACTTCATGTACATGGATACATGGTGGGAATTCCTTCCTGCACCCCCGTACCGCAAAGCCAACGGTGGGGAAGGAGAAGTGCAGACGTGCAGGAAGACGAACGAGGAGGAACCAGGACGAGCGAGCAATGGCAGGACTAACTGGACCGTAAGTAATAGCTGAATTGTGCATGACAACTTGACATCCATGCGGCACTCGCCACTTGCCACTGCATATTTCTTGTCCACTAACAATGTCTCTCCTCTGCCCCCTGTGTGTCCACGGTCCTGTTTCTGAATTGGCCCGATGAATCGAATGTCTTCCGCAACTGGAACGGCCCCGTGAACGCTGTCGCGTCGGCGACTGAATGCGCAGGAGGGAAAATATTGCTGCGAAGACGTCTCCTCTAGACGACGGTAAGGCACCCCATTGATATGTTGCCAGTGTGTGCCAGGGTATCGCGCGATGGTGAATGAGGAATGATGAAGGGTACGGTGGGACTGTAGACCTGTTACCTTCTACTAACACGTTATCAGGTGGAGAGTGTCTTGTACTCACGTTATCAGGTCGAGAGCGTATTGTAGTCACTCTCTCTATTCCTGTACTTCATTACGTTTAAGGTGTACGTATAACTTCTCAAAAAAATGTAATGGTCTACAGTCGTGTCGGAAGGGTACGGTGGGACTGTAGACATGACGTTACCTTCTAACACGTTATCAGGTGGAGAGTGTCTTGTACTCACGTTATCACTATTATCAGGTCGAGAGCGTATTGTAGTCACTCTCTCTATTCCTGTACTTCATTACGTTTCAGGTGTACGTATAACTTTTCCAAAAAATTTAATGGTTCACGTCTTCAGATAGCGAGCGTATTGCACCCACTGTCTAGTCTCTGTAGTGCATTGAGATTTTGTTGATCGAACATGAAATGGATACACAGACAAAGCCAGGCCAAGTACATGGCGAGATGTCGCCAGAAGAACGTCTTCAGGTAGAGAGCGGATTGCACCCACTGTCTAGTCGATTTTGTGGATCGCACATGAAATGGATACACAGACAAAGCAGGCCAAGTACATGAGAGAGTGGACGATGTGCAGATCGACACGGCCTGCGGGTACTTCATTAAAGTTACCCGTGACATAACTAGGATACAAGTTAATCACTGCAAAAACATTGCCAAGTATGTGAGCACTTTGGACTTGACAGAAGAGTGCACGGGCGACGTTGACAAAACATACCGCGGTGACTGTCACTATCATGACAGCAGGGCACATCGCACGCAGCATCGCAGATCGTGTCGAATTGCGCATCATAATAATTATTGCAAAATTGCTCCTGTGCATGCAAGTGGATTTCATTGCACTTCTCAGTTTGGGAAATGCTCGATTATGACAATTCTCCGTGTGAGTGCACTAGCCCTGAACAGACATGTAGGTGAACCGTTTGTGGTGTCTCATAGCCTACTATCTTTCTTCATCACTTGTATCTTGCAGGTATATCATCCCGTGACGACCACATTGAAGTCTGAATTTGAAGTGTGAAGATGCTTCAGCAACCACATCGTACTTTTCCATTGCTTTCATTGTGCTTCTACTGTGCATGTGTGTAACTTGTGGGGTAAACATGTGATGACATTGTATGCTGGCGACACGGTCAGATGTTCATGCGTCTAACGTACACCTGCATGTTATGCATTGAAAAGGGTTTGCCACTTGCGATCCTGGGACGAGTATCAGGTCCGCTTTGTCCTGTGTGGGCTGTATCAGATTGCTGTTCACTTCTCTATCTGTTGGATATGTGACTTTCTGCAAGTTTCTGGTGTATGATGGCCACGTCCTTGCTTGTCACTTTGTATGATATTACATTCTGTATTCGCTGCTTCCATGGCATGGTCTGTAAACTGCAATCCTTGGGCAAATGTCATGTTTGCTATGTTGTGCTTTGGCCGTCAGCTTGTCTACACGCTGTAGTTGAATTATTTTTGTTTCACAACTGACTTCCTCAAGTACGGTGGCCACTGCTTTGCATGGCATTATACATGAAGAATTTCCTGTTTGTGTCGTGTGCATGTGCGTATGTGTGCGTGGCCACGTGTGTGTGCCGTGTGCATGCACATGTTTGTGTATCTGTGTGCGGGGTAGCGAGGCGGGGAGGGCTGGTATGTATCAGTGTGTTCTTGCAGTCGCATGGCTACATACAGTACATCGCGTGCGTGGTCATCATGTTTACCTTCGGGGTTGGGGTGGGGAGGGAACGGAAAAAGAGCTGAAATTATCCATATAAAAATCGCTCTGTGAGCGGTTCTGAAAAACCTTTACTGGTACTGCCCCGTCGTAAAAGTAAGAAATTAGAACTGGCCCATTGTCCCCCCAAATGCGAACTGATCCACCTAAATCGCGAATGACGGGACCCGAACGCACCAGTAGCACGAGGTTCCTACCTGTGGATGCAGATGGGGACGTTGGTCCGGACCATAGGCCATGTACTGTACTAGCGGTAGGCTTCCCTATCAAAATAATAAATTCTACTACTAATACTGGTATACCCTATGATAATTGCCGTGATCCTGTGCCCTCCCGACCTCGTGCTACTGGTGCGTTCGGGTCCCCGTCATTCGCGATTTAGGTGGATCAGTTCGCATTTGGGGGGACAATGGGCCAGTTCTAATTTCTTACTTTTACGACGGGGCAGTACCAGCAAAGGTTTTTCAGAACCGCTCACAGAGCGATTTTTATATGGATAATGTAAGCGTACGGCGTCTGCTGCATAAAAGCTGCTGCGCATTTCTGTTTAGATGAGATTTTATAGCAACGAGAAAGCTAACCGAGAAGAAGAAGTATTCAACCTCCAGGTGTGCACCGGAGAGAAAGTTATTTATTTGCCGCTTCTTCTTTTACTAATAATTAAATCCCAGGTGTGTACCTGAGAGAAGTGGTATAAAACTAACTCTTGTTGATTGCACCGCGCCTACCACTCGGCTACCTGTTACACTATCAGCTGTATTGTGGTCATCTGTACAAACAGACCTTGCACAACCGGGGGTTAACCACACAAATCCCTTTTCCACAAAAAAATATCCGGATGGGCGAGGGAACCGGATAATCGAACACACCTACATGCAATGTATGTATGCATGTCACGTGCTGTAAATCGGTAACCAACGATTTTCTTCCGGATGGCGAGGGATCCGGATAAAAGAGGACCGGATAAGCGAGGTCTGACAGTACCACAATAGTGCTACAGAGGTTATGCGAATTGTGTTGTATTGTGTTGTATTTTATTATTTTACTTGGGTATTCCCAACAGACCCTAAGGTCTTCTTACAGGGTGCCCAAGATGCGAATGATGCACAAAACTGCAGTAACAATAGCATGTACATGTTATCCCAAACCTACCCAAGACTAACCTACTCATCCATTTTTATACTGGCTCATTGATCCTTGAGCCGAGGTGATGTTCCCATGGTTGCGGAGATTCTGTCTGATGCTGTCTAATCCGAAACATAGAATTTGATTTTATAATTTGTTGGATGTGAAGGTTGGTGCTTTCTGCAGCCGGTAAAGTTCCTGATCACTAGGTATTCTGTATTTGAATGTGTTTTCACATGTGTCTTTGTGTGTTTGGGGTGTGTGTGTGTGTGTGTGTGTGTGTGTGTGTGTGTGTGTGTGTGTGTGTGTGTGTGGGAGAGAGAGAGAGATACGTGTGTGTGTGTGTGTCGTTTTGTGTGTGATTGTGTTTGTATGTGTTTGTGTGTGTGTGTGTGTGTTTGTGTGTGTGTGTGTGTGTGTGTGTGTGAGAGAGAGAGAGAGAGGTGTGTGTGTGTGAGTGTGTGTGAGAGAGGTGTGTGTGTGTGTGTGTGTGTGTGTGTGAGAGAGAGAGAGAGAGAGAGGTGTGTGTGTGTGTGTGTGTGTGTGTGTGTGTGTGTGTGTGTGTGTGTGTGTGGTTTTGTGTGTGTTTGTGTGTGTGTGTGTGTGTGTTCGTGTATGCATGTATGTGATCATGTGCATGCACGTGTGTATGTGCATGGACGTGTGTATGTGCGTGTTTTTGCCGCATATTCAGTCCCACCCGTGGTCTCGGTCAATGACGTCACTGGAGTCGCCGGTGAACGAATTGAAATCGTGTGTCGCGTCCTCAGCGATCCACCACCGACGGCGACTCAAGGTGTTTTGGTATTGAGCAGCGGTATGGTGGTGGGACCTATTTCGATTGCCTTTGGCAGTGGGACGCCACGCACTACTATCTTTACTTTCCATATCCTGACGGCCAACCCAGCCCTTCATGCAGGCCCGGCAGTCTGCCGCACCAGAGTAACTCTTGATAGCGGAACAGAAGAGGTTAACGGTTCCTTCAACATTGCTGTTCTCGTCGGTGAGCCTCTCTTAAAACTGTTCTTTAGTTACATACCGTAGTGAGTAGCACCCAGAGAAAAGATCTATGTTCATATCGGGTTGTTAAAGGACTCATTCTATACTGTAGTGACTTGCATTGGAGCCTATCTCGTATAGAAGCCTGTTTTGAATAGAAGCCTGATTTTAAAGTTTCACTGTCGACTCGAGAGATAGCCTGGTTTTAGTTTTGACATACATAGAAATACCTTGTTTGGCACTGTGGGACCTGATTCTAAAGACCACCCTGCTTTAACGACCGCTTTCGCTTGCACCGTGGGGTGGTCTCTTAAACCAGGTTTTACTGTAAATGGAAATACCTGTTTTGAATAGACGTGTTATGTGAATAGTAGCCGGGAACTGACATCGGCTTCTACAGGAATAAGTCTGGCTTTAATACGCGACAATACATTAGCCTTTTTTCTCTTTTCTCTTTTTCTTTTTTACAAAGGCCACAGCTTCCAATCATGACATGCAAAGCAGCGGTGCAGCATCGCAGGCATGAATCGTGGGCGTGGTGCCCCCTTAATAAGCGACATTACAGTAGCTATTATGTCAGTATTGTAATTTTAAGTTACCAATGTATCATAGAAGTTGACAAATCCGTTGATCCCCGAGCAGCAGAGAGTGCTCAATGTCAGAGACAGAGCTTAGTACATAGCAGACTCAGCGGGAGACGTTCAGGTTGGTTCTAAATCTGAGTTTCGTGCCGCTGGGAAATGATCAGGCAACTGATACTCGGATCTACCCAGCATTGCGCTGAGTCTGCTATGTACTAAGCCCTGTCTCTGAAATTGAGCACTCTCTGCTGCTCGGGGTTCAACGAATTTGTCCACGCTCCTGGCTCTTCCCAGTTGAGGACTCTACCCCTACACTGCAAGCTAGCTATGGTCGTTTCAAGGTCAATACAACTGGGATATTCCCTGAAGAAGATCCCTCTACCGTCACAGATGCAGTACCGTCGGAAATGTCTGATTGACAGGATTGAGCAAGTCATCAAGCGTATGAGGTGTTCCGCCTTGTTCTACCTCAATGGCGAGGCACGCGAAGAGGAGCAACCAGAACGCTTCAAGGCTTCAAGAGCAGGACATGTCCTCCGCAAGTCGATGAACTGAAGGCCTTTGAAGAGTACCTCATTCGCGGTCAGCTTCCGCTAAGTATCAGGCAGCTTCCAAGACGCTATGAGAAAGGACAACAAAACGATCAAAAATTCTAATGAGATCATCGTGAAAGCCTATAAAATCCAGCATATGTACCAAGTACCAAAAGAGCAATACAGCAAGCTGATGAGAGAGAATATCACCAAAAACTACCAAATCGCGTCTGAGAATGTGTACGATGAAGGCAACAGTGAGGCGAGGGAGATCGCTGAGGGTCTAGATCTTCACAACAGGATGGACATACTGGCTAAGTCAGAAGCATTTATCACCCTGAAAGATCATCAAGATAACTAGGGGTGAACGATTACACTTTTCAACTGTCGGTTCACCTACTCTTGTATCGATTTGATTATCGATTATGATATCGATTACTGCGTCCTAGAAATGTTCGGGTGCAGACAGTCAGTTTTTATTATTTATTTTTTTACTATTAAACAGCCCTTCTACACCGGAAAAAGTGCGGATAATCGGAAAAGGACAAAGTATATTGCCCATGTGTACATGCACTGTCCATTTGCAATGTACGTAACTTTATCGTATCCTACTACATACAGTCAGTCATGTACATGACATCTTCTGCAGATTTTTTACTTTTTATTTATTATTTATTTATTTATTTTTTAGAATCGTCTACTCTAAACAGACAGCATAATCGAAATCGCTTCGTTGTAATGATCGATTAGACGGATAATGGACATAATCGTTTCAGCCCTAAAGACAACTTCGATTTCGCTAGAGCATTGCCCTGCAGACTCATCAAAATAATAGTAAGCCTCACTGTAGTATAAACCTCACTGGGGTATAAACCTCACTGGAGTATAAACCTCACTGGGGTATAAACCTCACTGGAGTATAAACCTCACTGGGGTATAAACCTCACTGGGGTATAAACCTCACTGGAGTATAAACCTCACTGGAGTATAAACCTCACTGGAGTATAAACCTCACTGGGGTATAAACCTCACTGGAGTATAAACCTCACTGGAGTATAAACCTCACTGGGGTATAAACCTCACTGGAGTATAAACCTCACTGGAGTATAAACCTCACTGGAGTATAAACCTCACTGGAGTATAAACCTCACTGGGGTATAAACGTCACTGGAGGATAAACCTCACTGGAGTATAAACCTCACTGGGGTATAAACCTCACTGGTGTATAAACCTCACTGGAGTATAACCCTCACTGGAATGTAAACCTCACTGGAGTATAAACCTCACTGGAGTATAAACCTCACTGGAGTATAAACCTCACTGGGGTATAAACCTCACTGGAGGATAAACCTCACTGGAGTATAAACCTCACTGGAGTATCATATTTATCACCGTTAATTTTATCATGTGAGTATAAGACCCCCCCCCCCCCCACACACACACTAAGAATGGACATGGAACTCATCGTATGTCTTGTTTGTCCTCTGCAGTTATGCCCGTGGTTCGAATAACCCCACCCACCCAGACTGTTCTGAATGGGACTATTGCAGAACTAGTGTGCGACACCACAGCTGGTACACCACCATTCCTCTTCTCATGGTTCTTGTCCTCAACCGAGATCACGGTGGGCGTCACGAGCAACGCTACGACGTCCACACTGCTGGTTGATACGGCCATGATGCAGACTAGGTCCCGTTCCTACACATGTAGGGTGACGCTGGATCAACCACTTCCGGCCAATCAGCTTTCTGGAACGGACGTCGGCACTCTGCTGACGGACTGTGAGTTGTCATGGGATGACATGCAGCACAGTGGTTTGTTATGCTATCAGCTGTATTGTGGTCATCTGTACAAACAGACCTTGCACAGCCATACAAATCCGTTTTCCACGAAAAATATCCGGATAGGCGAGGGAACCGGATAATCGAACACACCTACATGCATTGTATGTATGCAAGTCACGTGCTGTAAATCGGTAACCAACGATTTTCTTCGGGTTGGCGAGGGATCCGGATAAAAGAGGACCGGATGAGCGAGGTCTGACTGTACCACAGTAGTGCTACAGAGGTTATGCGAATGATGCACACAACTGCAGTAACAATAGCCCGTACATGTAACCCCAAACCAACCCAGGACTACCATATTCACACATTTTTACACTGGTTCATTGATCCATGAGCCGCGGTGATGTTCCCATGGTTTCGGAAAATTCTATCAGATTCCGTCTCACGTTAACCACAAAATTTAATTTTATAATTTTGTTGGATGTGAAGGTTGGTGCTTTCTGCAGCCGGTAAAGTTAGTGATAACTAGGTATTTTGTGTTTGAACGTGTTTTCACATGTGTGTTTGTGTGCGTGTGTGTTTGTGTGTGTTTGTGTGTGTGTGTGTGTGTGTGTGTGTGTGTGTGTGTGTGTGTGTGTGTGTGCGGCTATGCGTGTCTATGTGTATATGTGTGTATATATAATATTATATGCGTGTGTGTATGTATGTGTGCATGCACGCGTATATGTGCACACGTGTGTGTGTGTGTGTGTTTCTGCTCCACGTTCAGTCCCACCCGTGGTCTCGGTCAATGACGTCACTGGAGTCGCCGGTGAACGGATTGAAATCGTGTGTCGCATCCGCAGCGATCCACCACCGGCGTCGACTCAAGTCGTTGTGGTATTGAGCAGCGGTATGGTGGTGGGACCTTTTTCGATTTCCGTTGTCAGTGGGGCGCCACCGGCTACTACCTTTTCTTTCCAGATCCAGACGGCCGACCCAGCCCTTCATGCAGGCCCGGCAGTCTGCCGCACCAGAGTAACTCTTGATAGCGGAACAGTAGAGGTTAACGGTTCCTTCAACATCGCTGTTGGTAAGTACCAAACAGAGAAAAACTATATGTTAATATCAGGGTGTTAAAAACTCGTTGCACTCCGTAGAGCCTTGTATTAGAGCCTATCTCATAAAGAAGTCTGTTTTGAATAGAAGCTTGATTTTCAAGTTTCACTGTCGGCAGATAGCGCCTGATTATAGTGTTGGTGTACGTAGAAATACCTGGTTTGAATGGAAGCTTGATGTGAGTAGAAACCTAGCCCGCACATCGGCTTCTACAGGAATAAGTCTGGCGTTAATATGTATGATTGACTTTGTGGATTTGGATGATACAGTTTCTCTTGCTTTCATGGTTTTGCCCTTCAGATGTTCTGTTACTGGATGGAAGTGGCACGGTGTTCCGAACAATGTACCGCGAGAACCAGCTTGCTCCCACCATTCTCTCACTGCAGCATTCAGCCTCTCTGGTTGGAGAGTCAGCCGCCTGCCAGACGTCCATAGAGCTAACAGCGTACGTAGCTGTGTGCACGGTTTGTTGGGCATCGGTGTGTTTGTGTGAGGATGTGTGTGTGTGTGTGTGTGTGCGCGCGCGCGATGTGTGTGCATGTGTTCGTGTGTGTTCTTGTGTGTATCTGATTTGGTGAGTCAGTTGCCAGCCAGACGTCCACAGAGCTAAAGTTGTACATGATGCTCTGATCTTGTGCATGCGTGTGTGCGTGTCCTGTCAGGTTGGTCTGTAGAATGATTTGACCCCAGTCACATCAAGGCGCACACTTAACCTGACTGGCGCAATCAGTTTTTTGACTGGTCCCGCTGCACCACAGCTAGTCATACTGTCGTGTATGATGTGGCGAGTAAACACAAGCCTCTTACCAGCTAACACCCGTCGCTGAGCGGAGACTTGGTCCGGCTATGGCCTAACCAACCGCACTGGTTCCACCGGCTCTGTTTCGCAGTCAGTGAATACACCGGAGGAAAGCATGACACGAACCTAAAACTGGGCAAGGAACTTGTTATCCGATGCGACTAAAATTCCACCGCAAACAATAAGATTATTAGCACGTTTCTTCAACTGTTTATGAAACTGCAGTTTCAAATACAGTTAAGAGCAGAGCCCACACACTGCACTTGTAACAGGTCGAAGTTGATATTTGAAGAAAGAGGCTGAGCAGGATCCTGCTCAGCGCTTATATATCAGATAGGTGTGGATATTGTGAGAAGGAGGGTGAGACGGTCAGAAGGTAAAAAGGTGAGAAGGAAGGTAAATGGGTGACAACTGTGACAGCACTTATTCCACTCATTATATAATATTACAACGTTTTGGCAAACTGCCTTCACCAGATACAGACATTGTATATGTTGTTTGCTTCTTTTTGGTGCATGTTCTCGTGTCCCATATTAGGTCTTCTGGTACCTTGGATGATGTGGCATTCGAGAAGATCTTCCCCACCAAGGCGGTGACGTCACCTAATATTATGGTGAGTCAGGACGTGGCTTTCTGTGCTTCGTTCCCGACAAGGATGCTGGGTCGAAGCAGTTTGTGTTGATCTGCAGTTGTGACTACAGCGCAGTGCTAGTAGGATGCTAGTAGGATGCTGTTGCTGGATGCTGAGCACACGCTGCAGATCATCTAATCACATCATGGCTGTAAATGCTTTGCATGGAGTGGGTGATTACATCATCACTTGACATTATTTGTATAGAGTTGCACTTGAAACACTCCTAACTCACCCAGAAAAAAGTCAGTGTGGCTTACACTACGATGGTAAAATGAATGGTGACATGCAGGGTGGATGTCTGTTCTTCGTGAGGAAAAAATCTGGGTGCGCCTTGCATTTACATTACAGTGCGGCTTCCACGCGAGAAAAAAACTAGGGCTGAAACGACCATTCAATAACTCCTAACGATCAACCAACATCATTTACGATCGATATATTGGTTTTATCGATTGAAGAAATTCCACGATACCTTTGCTACGTTAGACGTTTGTGGCTGTGCACTGTTGACATCTGTAGACATCTGGACATGAACTAGAAATTTTCAATATTGTTTCTAGAGTGAATAATTTTGTCATCGCCCTCTGGCAACTGCTCTTACGTCCGACCTCTCCCACAAATGAACCGAAAAGACAAAGTCGTCTCTCCCAATCTCTTTGAAAGCCACAAATCAATTTTACTGCGCACCTAGAGTACAATACATAACTGTACTTGTATCCACTGTCGGATGGAGTGCAAGGGCTAGAATACTGTCACTGATATACATACATAAAGATCTTTAGCACTCGTTTTGAACACTGACCATTAGCGATTGCACTCTTAACGATCGTGTGCGAGTTATCGGTATCATTGTTTCAGTCCTAAAAGAACCATACTTTCACCAGTGACTTTCTCAGTACATATACTCGTTGTGAGTTTTATGCTAAATTGTACTCCTCTTACTGTTCAACGTCTGGTCTAGTTGGTGAACTCAGACTCATAACTTATGCCCTGTTTTCTTCTTTGTTTTCCTCTTTTCTCCTCAACTTTTATATTCTACAGAAGACATTCTTACCGAGAGAATTGTTGTACACGTCAACAGATGGTATGCCAATCTCGACCGAGGACATCTTGACCATTGTTCAGAACACGGAGTACGCGAACACTCGCGACGAAATATCCATGGCCGACCGCGTGGTAAGTGTGGCGTAAAGTAGACCCGTCTGTTTGTCTGGATGCATGTCTGAATGCATGTATGTACGTATGCGTGTATGTACGTATGCATGTAGGTTGTATGAAAATATTTGTGTTTTTTTTTAACGCTATTCTACTGTTTGAGACTTGCATAGACTTCAACACCCCCCCCCCCCCCCCGCTCCCCCCCCCCCCCCCCGCTCTCCCCCCCCCCCCGCTCCCCCATAATTAGAGCTTCAAAATTAGCCCTTTTCCAAAGATGCTCGCCACTTTTTTCGCAACTTTTCGCTGTTTAGGGCCCGGTCACACATGCACTCGAAAGTAGCGTATACGCTGAAGCGAGGTCGCAGGAGCGAAAAATGACATGGCAACGGCGAAAAGCGGAACGTCTGCTTCAGCGGAAACTCCAATCCGCTTCCGCCAAAATTTTCGAAGGGAGACTGTCGCTTTTGCGGATTCGCTTCAGCGGAAAACACCATGGTCTGTTGTATATGGACTTACTACGAGAAATTTGTATGCGTATGATGTCCATGCAACAAAACTGCGTGCAAGATAGTCATTGACCTCGTCTATTCTCCGTACCGTATGCACCACAGTCCACTTTAACTCTCATTTTCCGCGAAGTAGGAGTTGTGCCCTGTTTGTATGTGTGACCATGCACACGTGGTTTCGCTGGAGCGACACCAGGCTCGCGGCCGCCGAACCTCGTCGCCGAAGCGAATCCCAGTGCATGCATGTGTAAGGAAGAAATCGCAACTTACGCAACTTTCTTCATTTTCGCGAACTATCTTGCAAATTTTCCGCAACCTTCGCCCCTAGGCATGGGGTCAAAAGGTCAAGTCACAGAGTACATGTCAGACAAATGCATCCTCGCTCATTTCTCACCTGCCTTCAGACTCATTTCAGAGAAACAGTAGATCACTGGTAGTTACAAAAATATACATTCCATTTTCCGTACACTGGAGTGATGTAGGATACCTGCAACAAGCTACTGGCACTGTGTAAAGTTGTGGTTCACAGCAGGAAGGGGTGTACGAGTTTGCCGTCGCAGCACTTCTCCTTTTTTGGTGGTTTTGCACAAGAACTCTCCCATTTTAAGTTGCGATGTCAGCAACTTTTGAGCTTTTTCTGAAATATGGATGCGGTTTCAGCAACTTGCACTTGTTTTGGTACGGTTGGGAAAAGCATAATATGCGAAAAATTATGTAATCTTAGTGGAAACAGGCTAGCATCAGGGCAGGCCGAAAATTTAATGCGGCGGAAATGTGCTTTAGCCCCGGGAGGCCGAAATTTCAATGGGCCGAAATTTGTAGATTTACGGCATGTTGTTCCTTCACACAATGTCACGTGATGTTTGCATACCTTTGCTTTTCATCTCAGGTACTTTGGGAACTTCGAGACTGCGAGAACAACGTCATAGCGACAGCAGAAACATTCATTGAAATCGAACGTGTCAACGACAACCCACCTGTGGTGATATTCAACATTTCTCCAGGCATCGTGTGACGAGCAGAATATTAGCTAATGCCAATGATGTAAAATTCAAGAATTCGTAATATTTGTGGGCCGTGCTAACTGGCATCCACCTCTCTGCAGCATTTTACCTCGCTATTTTTGTTACTATTTACACGCAATGGGCATAGTTAAATCGCTACTCGTGGAGTTCGTCAGCTGCTACTTCGAAGTAGATTCTTTTTTAATTCTTTCAATAGCTATCTTTCTCTAATTTTCGCTTCCAGTCTCTCTCTCCCTCTCTCTCTCTCTCTCGCTCGCTCGCTCGCTCCCACTTCTGTCTCTCCTTTGCTCTCACCTCTCTCTCTCTCTCTCCCTCACTTTCTCCCCCTTTTTTCTCTCTCACTCTCGTTCACTTTCTCTCTCTCTCTCTCTCACTTTCTTTCCTAGAACCTCTTTCTTTCCTATTCCCATCTGACACTAGTTTCTCCTAGTCTAGTGCTGTCCACACTCGGCATCTCTTCTCGAACCAAACAATTCGAACCCTTCAACTATCTGGATTTTCCTACTCCCAGGTCGCTTATGCAGGTTTACATTGCAGCTTGTTTGACGTGATCTTGAAGTAATCACAAGTGTTTAATTTTGTACACTCCTCTCTTAAACCAGCACTCCCGAAGTTTTGGGAACTATTTTGACGACTGTCCTCCGAGGACAATAATTATTAGAAGTGCACATCTGTATCTGGTGAGTTTCTCAAAGTTGACGGATGTGCACGGGATGAGTGGTGTGGGGTTGGATTTCATTTACTTGACGTGACCGGGCTACCCGTATCGCAAGCTGTCTTGAGATCAGTGTATACCCTATGCTGCGGGAATACAATTATGCTCTGCAGAGGCCTTAGGACTGTAGCCGTAATTCAAATACATGTACAAGGAACAATTCCCGGGGGAAGTGTCATTATTATTGATATCAGCCATTCTCAGAAATGTAATTGACGACACGGAGTCTTGTTTCACTGTACCATGTGACGCAGTCTTCAGTGTTAGAGCCAATAGAGGCGACACTTCTACATTCACTTCTACAAACAGGATTTGTGTGTTCAGAAAGAATCGAAACCAGAGTTATACTTGAAGTATATGTAACTTACACACAGAAAGTTGGGTGTGGTCCTCGAAAGAGTGCTCAATGCACCGGGGTGCAGAGCTTCATACAAAAATAATAGAATGGATACGGAGCTTGGGTTGGCTGTGACAAGCTCCGTATCCCATTCTATTCTTTTTACCTCTCACTTACAAGTCGCTAATAACTGGGCCCAATTGTCTTTGCCCGAAGTTCACAAAAAAAATTATGATCTGAGAATGTCCTGTATAACCCAGGCACGTAGCCCGGGGAGGGTACACGTAAACCTCCACGGGCAAGTGCACCCCGGGCTCGGCCCGCCCACGCCCAAACAAAACGTTCCAATCGTTTCGCTGGTGTGAGCTTGTTTGACCGAAATGGCCCAGAGTTCGGAGTTCAATGGCTCCTTTAAGGCCTGAGGCGAGTTTTAATATTAATACGCCAGGTCCATGGTTACATGACGTTCAAGTCGCTGAAATACCTGCTACCACAAGTAGGACTACTGGTTAGGGCGCGTTCAGACTGGCGTGAATAGCCGCCGGAAAGCTGCAGCGTGATCCCGGGAATCGCAATCACACTGCACGTGTATCCCGCTGGAATGGCCAGTACATGTGAAGCTTCGACATTTGAAAAATTTGAGTTGACTCAGTTTGAGTTGGATATCAAAATAAACGAATTCAGTCTGTTGAGATACTGGATCATTGTGCTTTTGCTTGTGCTTGTCGACGGAAAGAATACTATGTCCGGAGTGTTTGGTGCTTGGGTTGCATTCATCCGCTCCGCGATCAGAGTATGCTTCTCGTTCGCAGTTACGTTTTGCCTGCAGAGCGGCCCGCAAAAATCACCACGTACAGCTCCATGAACTCCCTCTCCATTGCTGAGTCGAACAAAGATTTCGGCATGATGGGAGAAGTTGGCAGTCTAGAAGTCAAAACTCAAAAGCATGCAGTGAGACTGCAAGAGTAGAGGCTGAAATAAAACGAAAAGACGGAACATGTGCTGCAAGGATATCAAAAGCGCTCCGCGTTCCGCCGGAATCTGCATTCCACTGGCCTGCAGAGTGGTGGGAAACCTTTTCCGTGTTTACGCTGGCGGGAACGTCACGTGAGCGATTCACCTTGACAACTTTCACATTCGGCTTGTTTTTTACGCCAGTCTGAACGCGCCCTTAGGGCGCGTTCAGACTGGCGTAAAAAACAAGCCGAATGTGAAAGTTGTCAAGGTGAATCGCCCACGTGACGTTCCCGCCAGCGTAAACACGGAAAAGGTTTCCCACCACTCTGCAGGCCAGTGGAATGCAGATTCCGGCGGCACGCGGAGCGCTTTTGATATCCTTGCAGCACATGTTCCGTCTTTTCGTTTTATTTCAGCCTCTACTCTTGCAGTCTGACTGCATGCTTTTGAGTTTTGAGTTTTGACTTCTAGACTACCAACGAATTACTTCTCCCATCATGCCGAAATCTTTGTTCGACTCAGCAATGGAGAGGGAGTTCATGGAGCTGTACGTGGTGATTTTTGCGGGCCGCTCTGCAGGCAAAACGTTACTGCGAACGAGAAGCATACTCTGATCGCGGAGCGGATGAATGCCACCCAAGCACCAAACACTCCGGACATAGTATTCTTTCCGTCGACAAGCACAAGCAAATGCACAATGATCCAGCATCTCAACAGACTGAATTAGTTTATTTTGATAATAATAATAATAATAATGACAGTTCGCATTTCACTCATTGCATGAGGTCAACGCATCTGTTAACAATTTCGAGCCAAGCAGCTCTATCAGAAGCAGATTGCACAGCATCCAGAAGCGACAGATTAATGCATTGTAAGTCTTTCTTGACAACGTCGATCCATCTCAGACGTGGCCGTCCTCGGGGTCGTCGTATGTCTGTTGTGTTGATCGACATTAGGAGGGCTTGGAAAGAGGACGATTCTTCGCCTTCCCTCACTACATGGCCGAACCACAGCAGTCTCCGTTGCCTGCAGACTTGGGATAGTGGGGTCTGCTCGGTTCTGGCATACAGCGCTGTGTTCGAGATTCGTTGTGGGTACGTGATACCAATGATGGTACGTAGTTTCTTCCGGTGCCATACATTGACGACGTCGGTTAATGTTTGCGATAAGGTCCAAAGCGCACAATTATACAGCAAGACAGGCAATATCAGGCAGGAAAACATACACAGCCTGGAATTCAGGTTGTGGCGTTTCCATGGAATGCCTGCAAATGCCCGATTTGCAGCAGACACTCTAGCTGCTATGTCTTCTGCTGTGCCTAGCATACTCCCCAGCAGCTTCACCGATTTCCAGGAATCATCTTCCTTGGTCACAGTGAAATATTGAGTTTTTGCCACGTTCAGCTTCAGATTGTCATCCGAGAAAACGGGTTCACACACACGGACGGTTTCTTCCACAGATGATCGCTCGTTCTGATGGGCAGTGGTGTCGTCTGCGTATTGTGTGAAAGTTGCTGGTAGGTCTGACGCGGGTAGAGCTTGCTCTCGGATCCTACGCATGGAACCTTCGGCGTAAGTTATAAACATTATTGGTGACATTGGGTCACCCTGGACGACGCCGATGTTTGTTGGAAATGGTTTGCTTAGTTGTTTACCAAGCTTCGTGCGGGCTGTTGTGTTTGATACTAGGACTGCAGTGGTGGACGTTGGTGCGCCAGCAGTGGCTAACCTCTCCAGAGCAACCTGACGAATGACAGTGTCAAACGCACCGCTGAAGTCCAATAGTGCCGATGAATATGACCAGTCGCCAAGTAGTGCGCGCTCACACATCGTCCTGGCGTAAAAGACACCATCCGTGGTCGATCTGCCAGGGCGGAAACCAGCTTGGCTCTCTGCCACGTATGACTGCACATGGAGTGTGTGTCGTCGAGTGAGTATTGACGTCAAGATCTTACGGACGACGGAAAGGAGCATAACGGGGCGGTAGCTTTTTGGATGTCCTAGAGGCTTGCCGGCTTTGTAGATGGGAACGATGAGGCCGCAGCGCATGTCGTCAGGACAGTACTCTGTAGCTTGAACAGCGTTGAAGAAATTCGTCAGCCAGGGTGCGAAAAGGTTTTTAGCTGACTTCAAAGCATCAGCACTGATACCATCAGGACCGACAGCACCACCAGACTTCTGCTTGATAATTGCAGACCGTACTTCTTCGATTGTGAATGGATCTTCCTCATTCGATTGCTGCCTGAGGTCGAGTGGCTGGCCATCAGTGTAAAATACCGATTCATAATATTCATTAAAGGCATTAAGATTCCATGAGATGTCTGCCATGATTCTGCCGTCTGCGTCAGCAAGACGCACAGGCGCAGCCTTCTTCCCAGAGCGTAGTTGGCGTAAGTTGTTGATGGCGTTTGATATCCAACTCAAACTTAGTCAACTCAAATTTTTCAAATGTCGAAGCTTCACATGTACTGGCCATACCAGCGGGATACACGTGCAGTGTGATTGAGATTCCCGGGATTACGCTGCAGCTTTCCGGCGGCTATTCACGCCAGTCTGAACGCGCCATTAGCGGGTCGGACAGACGGACAGGCTACGGTCACTACTGTATTCACCGTAACAAGTATTTCTTTGTGAATACACGTAGCACACACACACATACACACACACACACACACAACCACATCCACACACGCACGCACGCACGCACGCACTCACACACACACACACACACAAAACACACACACATATTAGTAGCATTATAGTGTGCGATTTGCATCGAGCATTATGCTAGCATTACAACACTACATTTCCACAAAAGTGGCTTTATACTAAATAATTAAAAACCGGGAGAACGTACAGTATTTTGACGAGCGTAAAACGGACGAGACAAAGAAGAAGAAGAAAAGGAATCGCCCTCGGAACATCATATGGTTCAACCCACCATTTAGCAAGAACGTCGCCACCAACGTTGGACATCGCTTCCTCCAGCTAGTGGCCAAACACTTCCCCAAAGGCTCAAGCCTCAACAAAATCTTCAACCGGAACTCTGTAAAGGTTAGCTACAGTTGCATGCAGAATATGGCCACTATCATCAAGCAACACAATAACACGATTCTACGACCCAAGAAACAAGCTAACGGAGGTGACAACGATACCAGGACTTGTAACTGTCGGGCGAAAGACTCGTGTCCACTGGACGGAGCGTGTCTAACGGAGAGTATCGTATATAAGGCAAGAGTCACCGCAGGTATGGAGAAGAAGGAATATACTGGATTAACAGCAACAACATTCACACAACGCTACTATAACCACCAATCCTCATTCCGCCACAGACAACACGAGAAGGACACCCGCCTATCGCAGTACGTCTGGACCAAAAAGGATGAAGGGAAGGCATGCAGCATTCAATGGGCGGTACACCGCAGAGCAGCGGCCTACAGCAACAAAAGCAAAAGGTGCAACCTGTGCCTGGCAGAGAAATTGGCAATCGCGCAAGCACCCAAGCACCTCTCTCTCAACAAAAGGAGTGAGCTTGTGTCGAAGTGTCGCCATGAGAATAGGTACTACCTTCGGAA